TATTTCAGAGGGGATAACATTACAATTAAGAAATAATTTTATAATTTCTACAACGTAGACAGATTAATAGACGAAGAAAAAAATAGCCGAAATAGTCTACCCTAAAAAATAATGTCCAATGGATTTTATACCTAATCTTGAAAAATAGATTTCATGATAGCGGTATATCATCTTACGCAAACATTTTTAGCACATTAACTGATGCAAAACAATTTTGTAAAGAGAAATAAAAATAATTACGTTAGCGCTAGGTACTAAAAAATGGTACTGAACGCGTAAAAAAAAATGGAATATTATCTCAACTATAATTAAATCCATTTTCCAAAACACGAAATTAAAGATTATTATATGTGCATAACCAGAAAATAAAGATGAAAAACAAAATGTAAAATACCATATTTCATRAAGTTACAACATTACACATTTTGACAGCGAGATTAATAAAAACTTAAGAAATGAAATAAAACACACAGCCGATTCATTCATAAAATCCATAAAAGTACCTAGATACGGATATTGTGGTGCCATCGGAAATATTAAATGAAAACTGGACTAATCTGTACTAAGGATATTCCAAATTACCAAATTAGGTACTAGACAATAAAAAGATCCTGAAGAGTGTTTTAAAAAGGTAGTTTTGGAAAAAATGCAACAGCCATTAATGAACAATATTTTAGGGGACATTTTACTTATCATGGTATTGCTAACCTTCATCATAGTCAGATTTTTAACCTACAAAATTTACTCGGTTTACTACAGAGAACGATTTAATAAATTTTAATCTTCAGATGCGACGAGAGACGCAATATAAGGTAGGTATAACATCATGGACCATGGTCAATAAATAATAGGTAGATATTGGCGTTCATAATAATACGTTATACAATTATACCTTATATTATATCTATGTTTAGTGTATAAAGTTTAGAATGTTTAGATCATATTTTACTGAAGGTGTTACCGGTTTCCGCCAAAAATGAGCTTTCCGTTTTCCGCCAAATTAAAAAAAACGTCATTCCGTTTTCTGCCAATTATAAAYTATAAGATTTTAAAGTTTGAGAACTCCTTAAAGTAAGTATTTAATAATATTCTTTTACCAATTAAAAAAATAATCAAGACAAAACATATTATGTTATATATTTATATTATTATTATTAACAAAATGAGTCGATTTAAAAAAAAAAATGTTGTATACTATACCTACTCAATACTAATAATTACTAATAATTKTAATAAATAATAAATTGCCGTAACGAGATTCAGCCCAGTAACTACGTGTCGACATCGCGGTCACCGGTGCCGAAATTATAGCTAGGTATTGTAATTGTAATACAATTATTTATATATTATAGTTATCGGGAAAAAA